ACAGATGAGATTGAAATTCAAAAACCATACAAAGATGATCATGGTGGGAACAAAAAGCCTGGCCCACCGGCATCTCAACTCAACAGGTGGGACTGCAATTCAAAAACCATACAAGGATGATGATGGTGGGAACAAAAAGCCTGACCCACCAGCCTACCATGTCGGTCATGTGGTCTTCGACCTTTATGGGTAGGGGCAGGAGGATGGATGGGTATACGTGGTGTTTTGAAAAATTAATAAAAAATTAAATTTCTTATTTTTGGCCTTTTTTTAGTATTTTTTGTTTGACAAAGCCAAAAAAGATGGCCGCCCATTGCGGTGTCAGAATTCATGAAATTCCATCTATCGAACATAATTATTGTGTTACGTTAAAAAAAAAACATAACTATTGTATTTAGTTAGAAAATTTAGAAAAAATTTTAAAAATAAATTTAAAAAATTGTATAAAATTAAATAAAATATAAATATATGTTTATTTTTATTTTATTTTTTATTTATTTTTAAATATCTTTTCAAATCTTCGACCAAAAAAAGCATAAAAAAAATAAAAATCCAAGGAAAGAGAGGAGAATCATAGGAGAGAAGAAAAAGGAAGGCTATGGGTTTTTGTCGTTACCGGTTATCAAAACTTTTGGTGGATAACCCAAATCAAAAAGGAAGATCTAAGGGTTGATATTAATTTACGTGTGGTATATAAATACCACCATTTGCGTAGTATAGTTGGACCCTCTGCAAGGATGACACGTGGAGGATATTTTTGAAAACTTTTTTCCCTTACTTTTTGATCCACAAAGCTGAACATCATCCCCCTCTCTCTCTCTCTCTCTCTCTCGACATTTGTATATCTATATAAATATCACAAGAAACACGCTCAACCCAATCCAATCCAATCCAATCCAAAACACACAAAACCAATTTTTTTTACCCCTTAATTTCTCTCCATTTCTCTGTCTTTAATCGCCTAACTCTTTCTCTGCTCTTCGATTTTGATTCGTAAATAGCTCGAATTTTGAAGGGTATATACATATATATATATTTATATAAATCAATGAAGGTTTCGGTGATCGCAAGCTCTCAGGCGAAGATATGGAGGGCCGATTCGGTGCATAGAGATGTAGGTTTTTGTACTAATTTGAGCCCTCTGATCATCTCTCGGAAGTCAAACCTTTATTTTGGTCAAACCATCGGATGGTCTACAAAATCTCCGATTCGACTCACCCTCAAGGCTGTTGCCCAATCGGAACCGCTCGTTTCTGACAAAGTTTCCTGCAATACGATGACGTCCCGTACTGGATCCAAGGCAGTAAGTTTTCCTTTTTTTTTAATTTTTTTTTTTACACGGATTTAGCGATCGGACTGGACCTGTGAGGTTCATTATGGTTTCATTTTTGATAATATGAAAGTTCAATGTGTAAATATGATCGTAAAAATTTACGTTGATCGTTGATCGGATATCCTAGTTATATAATCAAATTAGTTTTAAATAAAAAAATAAATCTGTTGAAAAAATAAATAGTCGACAGAAATTGATCCGATGCCGATCAACCATTTTACAAGTAGACGAGTTCTATATATTGAACGATTTAAATTATTAAACTAGAATCCATGGTCGGCCTTACAGGCCAACAGCACCCTCCAGTATCGGACTGGAGGGAAGCTAATCCCTTTTTACATTACTCCTGTTTGGTTGCTGAGAAAGCCAAGGGAAAGAAAAGAAAATTTTGGGCTTTTGTGTTGCATTTTGCTCTGTTTTTAGCTGCTTAAAAGCACTCAGCTCAATTAGCTAGCCAAGTGTGTGTGTTAGCAAAATAATCTAATAGATATATACATGTACAAATGCACACACGTACATAAATACATATATATATATATACACTTAGCAAAATCAATACCTTTGAGAATTTATTGAAGTGAAAACCACTAAATTGGAACTATTCTTTATTGGGTTAATAATTGAATTAAAGAGTGTGCCATTTTACAAGTGAGGCATGCCAAAGATCATATGTATATTAGGCCTATTTGGCAATGTTTTCATTTTTTTTTTTTTTTTCCATTTTCATGTGTTCGGAAACAAAACAAGAAAAAGTTTGAAAACACAAGAAAACAATTTTTTGACATTTTCTAAAAAATGGATTGTTTTCACGAAATTTTCCTCAAAACAATTTTCAGAAACAATTGGCCAAACAAATGCGTTGTTTAAATGTGTCATGATTTTTAGATACAAAGATTGTGTAGTTCAGTTCTTCATCAATAATACGATTATACCAAACAATCATATTTGATATTTTTACAGATTGATGGAATAAGATTATATGTTGGGCTGCCCAATGATGCAATTTCAGATTGTAACACAATAAATCATCCCCGAGCAATCACAGCCGGTCTGAGGGCTTTGAAGTTATTAGGTGTCGACGGCGTGGAGCTTCCAGTCTGGTGGGGAATAGTAGAGAAAGAAGCTATGGGGAAGTATGAGTGGTCTGGGTACCTTGCACTTGCAGAAATGGTCGAAAAGGCGGGTCTCAAACTCCACGTTTCGCTCTGCTTCCACGCATCGGGAGAACCCAAAATTCCTCTCCCCAAATGGGTATCTCGGATAGGAGAATCTGAGCAAAGTATTTTCTACACGGATCGGTTAGGGAAGCAATTCAGAGATTGTCTGTCATTGGCTGTGGATGATCTTCCTGTTCTTGATGGGAAGACTCCAATCCAAGTTTATAGTGAATTTTGCGAGAGCTTCAAGTCTTCGTTCGCTCCTTTCTTGGGTTCCACCATCACAGTAAGGAACTTTGAATCTAACTCTTCGTTTGTTTTGACAGAATATTTTTCATAAAAAAGGTTTTTTCTTATAATTTGTTGCAACCTTGAAACTATTGTGCTTGTGGCTGTAACTTGTATTAGTAGTGTTGGTTTTTTTGGGTGCATAATATTAGTAGTGGTGGTGGTGGTGGAGACATTTTTTACAGAAAATGTTTTATGTGGAAAGTTTTTCTATATTTCATTGTAACCTTGAAGCTAATGTGTTTGTGGTTGTATTAGTAGTCATTTTAGTATAAAGTGTGGTTGTATTGGTAAGAATTTAGTCAGGAAAACGCTTTATACCTTCCAAAACTGAAGTACATTTTCTGCCCACATAAACTTCTTGTTGGTCACAAGAAAACAATTTTTTGTTGAGTTTCATTTTTTGTAATACCAAACGACAGAATATGCGGAAATTTTTTTCAAGAAACATTTTCTGTTGAAACAAACAAAGCATTACATTGTAGAATCTAAAAATCCCTATGATGTTCATTTGTTTGATGCATCTTGTTCATACTCTGCAGGGCATATCAATTGGTCTAGGACCCGATGGTGAACTCCGGTACCCTTCTCATCACGTTCCGGCTACTGATAACCATAGTCGCAGAGTAGGAGAGTTCCAGTGTTATGACAAAAAAATGCTTAGCAATCTCAAGCAATGCGCGGAAGCATTTGGAAACCCTCTCTGGGGACTCTCCGGTCCCCATGATGCCTCCTCCGGTGATAACCAATCCCCAAACTTGATCAACTTTTTCAAGGAGCACGGAGGATCATGGGAGACACCATATGGCGATTTCTTCCTTTCTTGGTACTCAAGCCAACTCATATCACATGGAGATCGCCTTTTATCTCTTGCCTCCTCGACCTTCACTGACACTCTGGTGAAGGTGTCTGGAAAAATCCCGCTCATTCACTCGTGGTACAAAACTCGTTCCCACCCTTCTGAACTAGTAGCTGGGTTCTACAACACAGTCAACAGAGATGGCTATGAAGCGGTAGTGGAGATGTTTGCAAGGAATTCATGTAATTTGATCTTGCCCGGAATGGACTTATCAGATGAGCACGAGCCACATGAAGCTCACTCGAGTCCAGAGTCATTGTTTACACAAATTATAACGGCTTGCAAAAAGCATGGGGTAGAGGTTTCTGGCCAAAATTCATCGGTTTCGAGGGCTCCTAATGGTTTCAAGCAGATTAAGAAGTACTTGTTGGATGAAAATAAGGTGGTGGACTTGTTCACTTACCAGAGGATGGGAGCTTATTTGTTTTCGCCCGATCATTTTCCAGCATTCACCAAGTTCGTTTGGAGCCTAAATCAGCCGGAATTACATTTGGATGATCTTCCGGGTGATGAGGTAGAAGGTGTTGAAACTGTAATTTCAGAACATGGTAAAGATCTTCATTTGCAAGCTGCTTAGTAAGACTAAGAAGCTTATGCATGTATGTATGGGGGATAGTATAATGTACATATAGTTCAATTTCAAAAGCCTGTAATACACTGTAGTGTAACATTTTGTGCTCTTTAAGTGAAAGTTGTGTTTGTATGAGCAATTCTTATATGCTTGCCTTAGAATGAAGATATTCTATTCTCTCTCTCTCTCTCTCTCTCTCTCTCACACACACACACACACATTAGTGTTTGATCCACTCAAATGCAAACACACCCTCTTCTCTAATTGGGTTAAATAAATTTTGTACCATTGCACGTTACATGAAATCCTATGCTCATTTCTCATTTTATAATAATCTCCTACACTTGCGATTAAGTAGCAATGTCATCTCGGAAAATGTCCATGTGCCGCACGTGTGTTCCTCTCTACAAAATTCAAATGTCACATGAACATTTTCTTTGAACTCAAATACACCGAAGATTGACATTGCAACGTGATTGTAAGTAGAGTAGGTTGACTATTACAGTTGAAAAATGAGAGACGGTGTTGGCCTATGGCAGTTTTGCTGAGTATTTTTCCTTTCAAAACACCTGATGCTGATGTTTTCTTGCTTTCTTGTTGTCTTAAATTGTTTTTTTGGTTTAGCAGAAAATTTATAGTAGCAAGACAATGAAACTATAGCCAATGTTTGTCATCTGAGAATTCCATGACTAAAAAAAGTAATACCACAAGCTTGGGCAGAATTTTGCAGAAATAGTTCAAATGCAAGGGATAGATACACTGGAAAAGCTGTTATGTACAAAAACCAAGAGAAATATACAAAACAAATTTGTCAATCAACAATTTACAAAATTTAGAACTTTTTATTCTTATTTTTTATATTCCCACATTTTCCCACAATATTTACACCTGAAGCCATCAAAATAAAAGATGCAGTCTGCAGATGAAAGCCCTTGCCCCTGGACAAGCAAGCAGCTTCTCTGCATATCATCCCCGTTTGCGTGCACCAAACACTCTTATTGCTTTCACCTTTTCAGTGTAACCAACAGAATTAACTGTTCCATTAGCAAAAGAAAATATTGGGTTGGTAACATGAAAATCTAGTAACCACCAGGGTAGCAGTATAACTTGACCAATATTCAATATCAGAGCAAAAGCAACCTAACAAATTCAGGGAAACCAGCCGAAGCAAACAAATGAGATATTTATCATTACGATACAAAGGGCACAAGAGCAATCAAATGATAGCGAAGGCAATAGAATGCTGGAGAATGGATTGTTGCGGTGGTGCTGTTGGAGTGCAGCAAGATTGTGGTCATGGTGGTGACTTGAGGCTTGGAGCTCAGGTTTCTCTTGATTACAGTTACACTTACAAAAGAGGTGCACATCAAAACAAGATGGTGGAGAGGAAGTCTGAACTAGCTTCTTCAACACCACCACCCTTGCTTAAAATGCAACATGGATGTATAATCACTTCGCGGAATAGAATCCTTACTTCCAGACCAGCAGACCGACAAGCCACCTTGAGGGGCATCATTTTTTCATTAACTATCTATTTCAAGTCTAGATATTATAGTCAAACTACATATGCAAATTTAGCCAACACATAAAGGTCAACATACAAACATGTAAATATTCTCACTAAGATAATATGCACACATAAATAGAATAATAAGATTCAGACCTTTTGTTTGTCATTCACAAGCAATCTTAGTGTAGAAGCTGCTAAGGCAGATAGCAAATGCCTGAAATGCAGAAAGTGGGTACTGGTAATCCATTGTAAACAACATCTTTCCCTACTTTCCCAAATTGGAGGATGGCCTTCTCGTGTTCCGGGCCTGCTTGTCCATTCTCCGCTACAGAGGCCACCAACTGAAAGTTATGCCATCTTGGAGCCTTGTTTTTCAAAACCAGTGCTCCACTTCTTTGATCAGTTGAAGTTCCACAATGAAAGTTTTCTGTGCGAATTGATTTTGATCGGAAAAATGGGAGTGGTGGAAAGGAATCTATGTTGCTAAGAGGGAATTCAGTCTGTGTAGGAGCCACACCCCGGGTTCAATAGCAGAAGCAAGGAATGGCATCCATCGTGCATTGCATTCTTCTTGGACCCCAGTTTGTTAAAAACAAAAGATAAGAACTAATGGAGTACTTGCTAGTAAGGGTGAAAATTTTCTACATGATAACACAATTTAAACCGTACACAATGTTAGAAAATAAGGGTTAATTATTTTCCAACATGTACATGAATATGATATGACCCGATACTACAAATATTAAATAGATCACAATTGTGTCAAACTTGCATAATATAGAGTTTACACTAATAACCCATTTAATGAAGAATTAGTTATACATTTTAATGTAGTTATTTCCTACACTTAAGGGTTCCATGACAGTTTTGAAGCCCTTATGTAATTCCATTCATACAAAAGTATGTAAAATAGAATTTTAAGGCTAATAACATTCATAATTTTAATGGAATTACAAAAATATGAATGTCATTATTTCCCACACTTAAGGGTGTCACGACCCGTTTTCCGTACCTAAAAGTTGAGCATCGTAATTGCTAATAACTGAAGTTACTTACGGCTAATTCTTGAATAAATAAATAAATGCGAGCGGAAAAAAATATTTAAGTGAGAGTACCAAAATAATCATTGAAACTTCTATTTTTATTATAAAATTTATTGATCAAAAGATCGATATTTTCATATAAAAATATTATAAAGTGTTGTGCGTGTCTACTTCGCAGCCCCGCGTCTAAGACTTTCCAAAAGTTATTTCTGAATTGCACTGTTTCCTAAAAATTGGTAAACAGCTATAAACACATGGCAGAGTGAGAATTATTATGTCAAAAGTATAAGGGACACAAAATAACCTAGTTATGTAACTAAAATATTTAAAATAACTTAATCTAAACAAAAAATCATTTAAGTAGCAAAACTGAGATTATGTAAATAAGTAATCATAGCCATGGTACCGAACAAAACAGAACAGAGGTCACAGGAGTGACAGTCAGAACAGAGATACGGATTCAAGAGGTGGCTCGTATGGATTATAGAAGTGGCTCCCACAATAATGTAGCACTTATCTCCTTACAGAACAGAGGTCAATAAAGAGAGCCACAAGTGGTCACATAGAGGCTAATAGTTATTTAAGGGCCCCAAGACATGGGACTCCCGTGGTGGTACTTACAAAACATAGTTGTTTATAAAGTCATTGTCAAATATTCTTTAAAATATAAACTAACATATCCATAGATTTCATTTTAACAAATAGAGTTCAGAAATTAATCAATATAATTGAAATATTAATATAATTTATAATAATTTATAAAACATAACTTATATGAAATAAATTATGATAAATTAAAATATACATAAAATATATTATGATAATTCAAAATATAATATAACTCACATTTATATTAATCCTTTACCATTACTTCTTCGTTCACCGAAATTCTTGATTTTTAGTGGCGGACCATGCCTTCCTTATGTCTTACTTCTTCTTGAAGCCCCCCTAGAGGTGTTTTCCAGCCCTTTCTCTCCATTTTCCTTCCCCTCCAAGGAAACACCACGTGGCCTTCCCTTGGCATGCTTATCCTGATAAGCATCTTGATCCTTCCTTTTATTTTTATTTATTTTTTGATAATATATAATTCTTAATTTAATTACACTTCTTAAATATATATAACATTCAATATTTTATTTTATTATTACAGAATATTTGTTTAAACATTTAGAATTTTTTTCATTTATAATTAAATAATACTAATTTAAAATTTAAAGGACAATTTTCAAATTGTTACAATGGGTGCCATGACATTTTTTATGTAATTCCATTCATTCAAATGTATGTAAAATAGAATTTTAAGGCTAATTATAAGTTTATTTATTTGTGGGAGATTTGGTCAAAACCCTCTCATAATAAAATTTTAATACATTAAGGACAAGCACACAAAAAAATTTCTTTAAAAGTCCAATACATACTATTATTATCAAAATATTAAACTTTAAAATAATATAATTTTTTATATAAATGTCAATTTTTAATAAAATTAGTATTTTTAGAATTCTCTCATCAAGATCTATCAAAGTGAACAAAAAATGAAATGGTAACTCAATTTTTTTTTCTTTTCAAGTTCATTTTTTTTAAGTGTACCCACATCAAGCAACATTTGAATATGGACCGTATCTTTCCAATGTACCTAAAAAAAAAAAAGGAATATGGACTGTACAATTCATTTATCTTTGAATGGAAATGGCAAAAATAGTGACAAAAAAATGGTCCTAATTGCCTAGAGAATTTTTGTTAAGTTATTTCTGTTAAGTTATATTTTAATTTAAGATTAGAAATCAGAATAAAGTAATGAAAACTGGAGTTGGGTGAGTGGTAAGTTTTTTTTTTTCATTCTTTTCATTTTTCTTTGATTAATGTATGATATTACAATCAAAACTAGCCAATAAAAGCAACAAAAAAGAACCAAAAACAGTTTTAAAAACATGAACCTAAAAACAATATTAAAAAAAAAAAATCGTTTTAAATCTGTTAAGGCCCTCCACCCACTTCTCTTCATCAACCCATAAATCCTAAGCTTACATGAACCAGAAACCAAAATCGATGAGAGAGAAAGTGAGAGAGCAACCAGAAACCAAAAACAAACACAAATCTTAATGGATTTGAACACAGAGCAACGAAAAACTAAAAAAATCCTAAATCGATGTGTATATCTAATATATGTATATCTATATATAACAAAACATAGGATTTAGGGTTTCAAATCCTACTCTTTGGTGAAGATCAACGGAAAACAGGGACGATCGCCAGCAATTTTGATGTGTGAAGCAGTTTCGTCGTTCGGCAATGAGAGGAGAGGAGAAGAGGAGAGCGTCGTTTGAGAGGAGAGGAGAAGAGAAGAGTTAGGTATGAGACGAAGAAGTATGGTTATATAGTGGCATTTTCGTTATTTCTTAAGTTTTGGAGGGGTATTTAAGTCATTTTGTCTCTCCAAAAATAGCTGCGCACTTAAGTTGTAAAATTAAGCATTCTTGGAGCAACTTTTACATTTAAACTGAAAATGACTTAAATTAAGTCATAATCTGTGCCTTATAAGTTGTACCAAACACACCAATATAACTTAATTTAAGTTAAAAATTAATTTAAGTTGAAAATTTTTTTTACCAAACACCCCCAGTAGATGAAATTTCAAAAAGGATCTTGATGGCATGGAATGAGTCAGCAAAAACACCCAACACCAATTTCAAGCCGTCCCACCTTCAATTTGTTTGGTTGGTTGGAAATTAGAAAAACCCACTTCACTTTTTCTTTACACGTCATGAAAATGGCATAAAAGAAATCTTTTTAATAACATAAAAATATTTTATATGCCACATTTCAAATTTGTTCGGTTTGGATAGAGTTATCAAACGAAAGGTTTGGATGCCAAAACTAGTTATGTATTTAAATAGTTTAATTAAAGTAGTTAATTTAATGGTTGTTTGGTAATGATTTTAAAAAAATTAAAAGGTTAAATGTCATATTAATTTTTTTCATAAAAAAAAACAATTTTTTTAGCAATTTTAAAAATACATTAGCATTTTTAATTTTTACAAACAACTAAAAAATTATCAAAAAAGGTAACTCTTTCAAGACATGAGTGGCTCAACAATTAAGCTACTTAACCAATTGCTTGAGGCGTAGGAATTTTTTTTTTTTTTTTTGGAACTTAAAAAAACAATGTCGCATTTTTATGTTTAACGTCAAGTCTCAAAACCTTATGAAAACCCTATGAACCGCTATTGTTTCAAAAGCTCTTTTTCTTTTTTTCCCAAAAAAATCTTATAATAAATATTGAGCGGGTGTTTGGGGTTTGCCTTTTTAATGACTTTTCTATTGGCTTTAATAGACTTTTTAATTTTTATTTTTTTTTAAATAGAGACTTCTAATTCTACTCGATGAGAAAAATCAAAAAATTAAAAAAATTATAATAAACAAAAAAAATATGAACTTTTTTTGTGTCCTTATTTTGGCTTTCTCAAAATTGTATAGAATTTTTCTATAAAAAAAAAATTACATTTTAGATTCAACTATACAAGATAAATCGGAAAAATAAATTTTGTTTGGCATAATTCAAAAAAAATAATAATAAAAATACAGCTTTTTTTGGAATATCTTAAATTGAATTGAATTTAGGTTGGTTGAGTTAAAAAAAGAAGGGAAAATGCAGGTGAGAGAAGGAGAAAAAAAAATACCAATACATAAGTACAAGTGTATTTATAGTGAAATGTAAATGAAAAACTGTTAAAATGTAAGTATATGTTAGTTATTTTTTTTCTCTTCACGGGGTTCCCCAAAAAAGAAAGGAAAATAACATATCAGCAAAAATTTTAAAGATAAATTATAAATTAGGAAAAAAAATTATAATATTAATAATCAAAATGTTAAACTTTATAATAATATATATATTTTTATATTCAAACTTGATGCTAATTCTCTCAACCCAAAAAAAAAAGAATTTTAAAGATAAATTATAAATTAGGGGAAAAAATTATAATATTAATAATCAAAATGTTAAACTTTATAATAATATATATATTTTTATATTCAAACTTGATGCTAATTCTCTCAACCCAAAAAAAAAAGAAAAGAAAAAAGGTTTGAGAAGAAACAGGTTGAGAAAATTTTATGCGGCCGTACTTTCTGTTTGATAAGGCTGCTGAACTTTGTTTGACAAGGGTGATACGTGGAGGATACTTTTGAACATTTTTTACTCTCACTGTTTGGTCCACCAAGCTCAAATCATCACTCTCTCTCTCTCTCTCTCTCTTTCTACATTTGTATATCTATATAAACTTCGCAAAAAGCACTCTCAATCCAATCCAATTCAAAACACACAAAGCCCATTTTTTCCCCCTTAATTTCTCTCCATTTATCTGTCTTTAATCGCCTAATTCTGGCTTTGTTCTTCGATTTTGATTCGTAAATAGTTCGAATTTTGAAGGGTATATATATAACATATAAATCAATGGAGGTTTCGGTGATCGCGAGCTCTCAGGCGAAGATATGGAGGGCCGAGTCGGTGCATAGAGATGTAGGGTTTTGTACTAATTTGAGCCCTCTGATCTTCTCTCGGAAGTCAAACCTATGTTTTGATCAAACCAACGGATGGTCTACAAAATCTCCGATTCGACTCACCCTCAAGGCTGTTGCCCAATCGGAACCGCTCGTTTCTGACGAAGTTTCCAGCAACACAACGACGTCCCGTACTGGATCCAAGCCAGTAAGCTTTCCTCTTTTCATTTTGGGTAAATTAAAAATATATTAAGATTTAATTAAAATACAAATCACTCTGTGATTTTGAAAAGGGAAAATCGGTCTAAGGTCCCTATCAAACTTTTAGTAATGGATTAAATCCACAATCTGTTCTTTTGTAGTCTAAGGTCCTTCACCCCATCCCCTCTCCATCCACGTTGTCCTGAGTCCGAGCAACAAGCTGGTCTGCCGTATGCATGTCTCCATTATAGAGAGAGAAGCTGGTCGTTCTTTGTGTTGCCCTCTCCATAAAATACAAATCACTCTGTGATTTTGAAAATTACGTTCCATCCCGAGGTTTTTAATTTTATAACCTCATTTGGAGAGTGATTATTTTAATTAAAAAGTCAAAAAGTTACTAAAAATTGTCATATCATCTCTCTACTTTTTTGTATATCTTTTTATAAAAAGTCAAAAAATTATTAAAATAGTCTGTTTCCAAACGAGGCTTAAATTGTACATTTTATTAATAAATCAAGTTAATTAACAATTTTTAATTATATTAAATATATATTTCAATTAATAATTTTGATAATTTTATTATTGTATAAGCGAGTAATTATGAATTTTATTTTTTTAATTAATTCTGTTAAATAAAAAATTCTAACCATGAAATATTTGTAATTTTTCAAATTAGAAAAAATAATCTGTATTTTAAGTAAACTATTTGTAATTTACCCTTTTATTTTTTTATGTTTTTTACAATACTCTTATTTGGTTGCTAAGACCATCTCCAACGGTGAACCAAACCCAGCATCAGATTTAAATTTTGATGAAAAACCCACTTTTTCACACTCCAACGGTTTCACCAAATCGATATCAAATCCAGAATTCAGCAAAAATGGTACCAAACTGAGTGCAGGCGAAGCATTTCAGCAAATCACAATATTTGATTTTTTAATTATGGTATATTTAATTTTGAATTTTAAATCTTATACTAAATAAAAATAATTGAAGATATTATTACTCAATTTTAAGTGTAAAATCGTCAATTTGACAAAAATATATGTCAATTTTTTTTTTGAATTTTTAAAAATTATTTCTATCCAGCAAAAATAAAATTATGTAAAATTGATAAATCTTTTATACATTTATTTTTTTTATTAAATTAATTTTTATTATATGTTTGAATAAAAAAAAAAAAAAATTTTTTTGCCATTACCGGTTGACCGGCCGGTCGACCGGTCGGTCAACCAACCGGTTGCCCAGCGCAAATTTGATGAAACGAATTTGATGTTGAACCGTTGGAGCGCGAAGTATCAAATTAAGAAAATGACCCATTTTTTATTCAGATTTGGTGAAATATTTGGTACACCGTTGGAGATGCTCTAAGAAAGCTAAGGGAAAGATAAGAACATTGTTGTGTTTTGTGTTTACATTAGCAGCTTAAAAGCACTCAGCTCAATTATGTGTGTGTTAGCAAAATAACCTAAAGTAAATTATATTAGTAGTGTCTATAATTTGTGACTTGTGTCATTTTAATATTTGATTTCTTAATTATGGTATATTTAATTTTGAATTTTAAATCTTATACTAAATAAAAATAATTGAAGATATTATTACTCAATTTGAAGTGTAAAATTGTCAATTTGACAAAAATATATGTCAATTTTTTTTTTTTGAATTTTTAAAAATTATTTCTATCCAGCAAAAATAAAATTATGTAAAATTGATAAATCTTTTATACATTTATTTTTTGTATCAAATTAATTTTTATTATATGTTTGAATGATGATCATGTAATGGATAGACTATTTTTATTTTCATTAAATTAGTTTCTATTTTTTCAAAACTCAAATATGGTGACAATTTTGATATCTTTATTAAACTAATTAAATCAAAAAATTCAAGATTAAAAACATTTCATATATTAAATATATTGATTATACATTAAAAACTTAACAATCACACATTATATGATCATCATTCAAACACATAATAAAAATTAATTTGGTAAAATAAATAAATAAATAAATGCATAAAAGATTTATTAAATTTACAAAATTTTATTTTTGGTGGGTAGAAATAATTTTTTAAAATTCAAAAATATTTTTTTTGACATTTATTTTTATCAAATTAATTTATATTTTATCAAATTGACAATTTTACCTTTGAAATTGAGCAATGATATCTTCAATTGTCCTTATTTGGAATAAGATTTATAATTTAGGATCAAATGTAAAAGTCAATAATTAAAGTGACACGAATTCCAAACTATTGGGACTGCTAGTTTAATTTGCCCAATAATCTAATAGATATATACATGTACAATTGCACACACATACATAAATACATATATATACACTTAGCAAAATCAATCAAGTAATATTAGAGATATCAAATTTTTTATCATTTGGCAAGAGGCTATTTTAGCCAATTAGCCAAAAAGTTAAATTAGCCAAAAAGTCAACAACCCATACCAAAAAGTCAAAGATTCTCTTTTCTCTCTACTTTTTGCACATCTTTTCGTAATTAGCCAAAAAGTTATCCCAAACATATAAATTTTTTTTACCTACCTTTTTAGCCAAATAGTTAAAAAGTTACTAAATTAGCCTGTTCCCAAACGAGGCCTAAATAAATAATTAAATGTTTCATATGATGTGGAGTCACAAATTTGCGAATTCATTGAAGTGAAAATTTGGATTAATGATTGGGCCTATAGCATTTGGGTAGAAAATTTAGGCCAATAGCATTTTGCAAATCAATACCTTTGAAAATTTATTGAAGTGAAAACCACGAAATTGGAACTATTCTTTATTGGGTTAATAATTGAATTAGAGAGTGCCATTTTACAAGTGAGGCGTACAAAAGATCATATGCATATTAAGGCCTTTCTAGTAATGTTTTCCTTTTTTTTTTTTTTTTTTTTAATCATTTTCATGTGTTTGGAAACAAAGCAGGGAAAAATTTGAAAGCACAAGAAAACAGTTTTCGAAAATTCAAAAACAATTTTTTGGCATTTTCTAAAAAATGGATTGTTTTCACAAATTTTCCTCAAAACAATTTTCAGAAACAATTCGCCAAACAAATGTGTTGTTTAAATGTGTCATGATTTTTAGGTACAAAGATTATGTAGTTCAGTTCTTCATCCATAATAGGATTATACCAAACAATCATATTTGATATTTTTACAGATTGATGGAATAAGATTATATGTTGGGCTGCCCGTTGATGCAATTTCAGACTGTAACACGATAAATCATGCCCGAGCAATCACAGCCGGTCTGAGGGCTTTGAAGTTATTAGGTGTTGATGGCGTTGAGCTTCCGGTCTGGTGGGGAATTGTAGAGAAAGAAGCGATGGGAAAGTATGAGTGGTCTGGGTACCTTGCACTTGCAGAAATGGTCGAAAAGGCGGGTCTCAAACTCCACGTTTCGCTCTGCTTCCATGCATCAGGAGAACCCAAAATTCCTCTCCCCAAATGGGTATCTCGCATAGGAAAATCTGAGCTAAGTATTTTCTACACGGATCGGTTAGGGAAGCAGTACAGAGATTGTCTGTCATTGGCTGTGGATGATCTTCCTGTTCTTGATGGGAAGACTCCAATCCAAGTGTATAGCAAATTTTGCGAGAGCTTCAAGTCTTCGTTCACTCCTTTCTTGGGTTCCACCATTACAGTAAGGAACTTTGAATCTAACGCTCCATTTGTTTTGACAGAAAATATTTTTCATAAAAAAAGTTTTTACTTATAATTCATTGCAACCTTGAAACTACTGTGTTTGTGGTTGTAACTCGTATTAGTAGTGTTGGGTTTTTTGGGTGAATAATATTAGTGGTGGTGCTGGAGACATTTTTTACAGAAAATGTTTTATGTGGAAATTGTTTTTCTATATTTGGTTGTAACCTCAAGCTAATGTGCTTGTGGTTGTATTAATCACCAAGGATCCTCTAGAGTGAAATTTTCCTAAAGTTTCCTAGAATGCTACATTGTGTGGTTGAGATTTAGTCAGTAAATCTCAACCACACAATGTAGCACTCTAGAAAACTTTAGGGAAAAATCACTCTAGAGGATCCTCGCTCTGTATTAATAGTGGTTTTAGTGTAAAATGTGGTTGCATGGGTAAGAATTTAGTCAAGAAAACGCTTTCTACCTTTCAAAATTAAATTACATTTTCTGTTCAAATAAACTTCTTGTTGGTCATAGAAAATATTTTTTTGTTGAGTTTCGTATTTTGTAGTACCTAATGACAGAAAATACGGAATTTTTTTTCAGAAAACATTTTTGCCGAAACAAACGGAGCATTACATTGTAGAATCTAAAAGTCTCTATGATGTTCATTTTTTTGATGCATCTTGTTCATACTCTGCAGGGCATATCAATTGGTCTAGGACCCGATGGCGAACTCCGGTACCCTTCTCATCACGTTCCGGCTAGTAATAACCATAGTCGCAGGGTAGGAGAGTTCCAGTGTTATGACAAAAAAATGCTTAGCAATCTCAAGCAATGCGCGGAAGCATTTGGAAACCCTCTCTGGGGACTCTCCGGTCCCCATGATGCCTCCTCCGGTGATAACCAATCCCCAAACTTGATCAACTTTTTCAAGGAGCACGGAGGATCATGGGAGACACCATATGGCGATTTCTTCCTTTCTTGGTACTCAAGCCAACTCATATCACATGGAGATCGCCTTTTATCTCTTGCCTCCTCGACCTTCACTGACACTCTGGTGAAGGTGTCTGGAAAAATCCCGCTCATTCACTCGTGGTACAAAACTCGTTCCCACCCTTCTGAACTAGTAGCTGGGTTCTACAACACAGTCAACAGAGATGGCTATGAAGCGGTAGTGGAGATGTTTGCAAGGAATTCATGTAATTTGATCTTGCCCGGAATGGACTTATCAGATGAGCACGAGCCACACGAAGCTCACTCGAGTCCAGAGTCATTGTTTACACAAATTATCAGGGCTTGCAAAAAGCACGGCGTAGAGGTTTCTGGCCAAAATTCATCAGTTTCGAGGGCTCCTAATGGTTTCAAGCAGATTAAGAAGTATTTGTTGGATGAAAATAAGGTGGTGGACTTGTTCACTTACCAGAGGATGGGAGCTTATTTTTTTTCACCCGAGCATTTTCCATCCTTCACCAAGTTCGTTTGGAGCCTAAATCAGCCGGAATTACATTTGGATGATTGTCCGGGTGATGAGGTAGAAGGTGTTGAAACTGTAATTTCAGAACATGGTGAAGATCTTCATTTGCAAGCTGCCTAGTAAGACTAAGAAGCTTATTCATGTATGTATGGAGGATAGTATAATCTACATATGGTTCAATTTCAAAAGAGACTGTAATACACTCTAGTGTAGCGTTTTGTGCTCTTTAAGTGGAAGTTGTATTTGTATGAACAATTCTTATATGCTTGCCTTAGAATGAAGATATTGTATTCTTTCTCTCTCTCTCTCTCTCTCTCTCTCTCTCTCACACACACACACACATTAGTGTTTGATCCACTCAAATGCAAACACACCCTCTTCTCTAATTGGGCTAAATACATTTTGTACCATTGCACATTACATGAAATCCTATGCTGATTTCTCATTTTACAATAATCTTCATGTAACCCTATGCTGATTTCTCATTTTACAATAATCTCCTGCACTTACGGTTAAGTAGCAATGTCATCTCGGAAAATGTCCATGTGCCGCACGTGTTGCTCTCTGCAAAATACAAATGTCACATGAACATTTTCTTTGAACTCAAATATCAACTATTCACGGAAGATTGACATTGCAACTTGATTGCAAGTAGAGTAGGTTGCTATTACAGTTGAAAAATGAGAGACAATGTTGGCCTATGGCAGTTTTGCTGAGTATTTTTCCTTTCAAAACTTGATGCTGATGTTTTCTTGCTGTCTTCTTGTCTTAAATTGTTTTTTTGGTTTAGCAGAAAATTTAGTGGCAAGACAATGAAACTATAGCCAATGTTTGTCATCTGAGAATTCCACGACTAAAAAAAGTAATACCACAAGCTTGGACAGAATTTTGCAGAAATAGTTCAAATGCAAGGGATAGATACACTGGAGAAGCTGTTATGTACAAAAACCGAGAGAAATATACAAAACAAATTTGTCAATCAAAAATTTACATAATTTAGAACTTTTTTTTATTTTTTATATTCCCACATTTTCCCACAATATTTACAACTGAAGCCATCAAGACAAAAGATGCAGATGAAAGCCCTGGCCCCTGGCCAAGCAAGCAGCTTCTTTGCATATCATCCCCGTTTGCATGCACCAAACACTCTTGTTGCTTTCGCCTTTCCAGAGCAACCAACAGAATTAACTGTTCCATTAGCAAAAGAAAATATTGGGTTGGTAACACGAAAATCTAGCAATCACCATATACAGTTAGGTCATGTTTGTTTGGGTAGACATAAGCTTGGGATTGGACTAATAGTCTAATAAAATTATTAATCCGATGTTTGGTTCAACAATTGAAGTACGGACTAATTATTTTAAACTTGACTATTAATTAAGATAGGATAAATAATCCAACGGATTCGTAATCCTAGGACTATTAGTCATGGGAACACTAATCCAGTCCGCCCAAACAAACATGGCCTTACAGTATAGCAGTATAACTTGATCAATATTCAATATCAGGGCAAAAACAAACAAACAAATTCAGGGAAACCAGCCGAGCAAACAAAGGAGATATTTATCATTACGATACAACGGACACGAGAGCAATCAAATGATGGCGAAGGCAATAGAATGCCGGAAAATGGATTGTTGCTGTGGTGCTGTTGGTGTGCAGTAAGATTGTGGTCATGGTGGTGACTTGAGGATTGATACACAATGCAATTTCAAAGTAGAACCCAAAGCTTGGAGCTCAGGTTTCTCTTGATTACTGTTTCACTTACAAAAGAGGTGCACACCAAAACAAGATGGCAGAGAGGAAGTCTGAACTAGCTTCTTCAACACCACCACCCTTGCTTAAAATGCAACATGGATGTATAATCAGTTCGCGGAATAGAATCCTCACTTCCAGACCACCAGACCGATAAGCCACCTTGAGGGGCATCATTTTTCATTCATTAACTTTTTAGACTTGAATTACATTCAAGTCTAGATATTATAGTCAAACTACATATGCAAATTTACCCAACACATAAAGGTTAACATACAAACATGTAAATATTCTCACTAAGATAATATGCACACATAAATAGAATAATAAGATTCAGACCTTTTGCTTGTCATTCACAAGCAATCTTGGTGTAGAAGCTGCTAAGGCAGATAGCAAATGCCTGAAATGCAGAAAGTGGGTACTGGTAATCCATTGTAAACACATCTTCAATTGAATTAATATACTTCGGAAAGGACATGATGGAGCGGTGGAATCAACTAGTGATACGTGTTTCCCCTTAGTACTTTCCCAAATTGGAGGATGACCTTCTCGTGTTCTGGGCCTGCTTGTCCATTCTCCGCTACAGAGGCCACCAACTGAAAGTTTTTCACCGAAGCAACTGTTACCCGTCCATGAAAATTCAAACACCAGCACTGGAGCTGCTCATGCCATCTTGGAGCCTTGTTTTTCAAAGCCAGTGCTCCACTTCTTTGATCAGTTGAAGTTCCACAAAGAAAGTTTTCTGTGCGAATTGATTTTGATCGGAAAAATGGGAGTGATGGAAAGGAATCTATGTTGCTAAGAGGGAATTCAGTCTGTGTAGGAGCCACACCCCCAGGTTCAATAGCAGAAGCAGGAATAGAGAAACATCCATCATGCATTGCATTCTTCTTGGACCCCTGTTTGTTAAAAACAAAAGATAAGAACTAATGGAGTACTTGCTAGTAAGGGTGAAAATTTTTAACATGACATGATACACGATTTAAACCATACACAATTTTAGCAAATTAGGGTTGACCATTTTCTAACATGTACATGAATATGATATGACCCGGTACCACAAATATTAAATAAATCACATTAGTGTTGAACCCACATAATACAAAGTTTACACAAATAACCTGTTTAATAAAGAATTAGTTATACATTTTAATGTTATTATTTCCCACACTTAAGGGTGCCATGACATTTTCGAAGCCCTTATGTAATTCCATTCATACAAAAGTATGTAACATAGAATTTTAAGGCTAATAACATTCATACTTCTAATGGAAGTACAAAAGTATGAATGTTATTATTTCCCACACTCAAGGGTGCCATGACATTTTTGAAACCCTTATGTAATTCCATTCATACAAAAGTATGTAAAATAGAATTTTAAGGCTAATTATAACTTTATTTATTTATTTATTTATTGAATATAATGCATCTTTTGTCTACTATTTAGAGTCAATCTAGTAAAAAATACATAATAATAGGGAAAAATGGAATTGAGTCGAAATCAAATATTATTATGAATCATTTTATCTAGTAGAGATTTGTTTCATAAAAGTTACCTTACGGAAAAAATATATATATATATATATATATAATTTTACCATACATTTAGGTCCCGTTTGGGAATAGGCTATTTTAGTTTTTTTTTTTTTTTTTTTTTTTAACGAAAAGGCATGCAAAAAATAGAGAGAGACGTGATTGGGTGTTTTGCCCTTTTGGCTATTTTAGCCAAAAAAATTTACCCCTAACGAGACTTTAGTATTTTTAACTATGGGTGAAATTTTTTGACATGACAAGTAAACAGTATCCAAACTGGCACTGACTGAAGCGACACAACACAATAACGCAGAAAATAAATGTGTTGGGTTAGTGTTGAGGTAATTTTGATATGAACCCAAAATGACACAACACCAACACGACACGATGCCCACCCCTACTTGCTAGAATGTACTTTAAAGGTGGGGAAAGTAACTCAAAAACAATTTAACTATTTACCACCTACAGTTCTCCCCTAAGGATTCGCACAAAAAAGAATGAGAAGTAGTCTCATCAATATTTTTTTTACATCATTTTTATTGATTTTTAAATTTGTAACCTAATCTTTGCACACACTAGGTTTAACATAGATAATTCATTGTTTTCATGCAAAATCTATGAGTAGTCACATAAGCCTTGTTACCTGGATCCCAACACATTCAACTCATATGAGATATGAGCTACTGGATAGTTGCCAGCAGGAACTCTGGGTGAAACTTGTTTTGAGCCCACTAGCCTAGTGGAACTACTCTTCATTGTTTTGGCTCCGGCATGAGGTGGCAGACCATCATATATTACGAACTTGGTTCCTAGAAAATTTGATCTTTTAAACAGAAAAAAAGAAAAAAGGAACAGTATTATTGTAGCCCACATAAAAGAAAAAATAAAAAAAACCAAAGATTTCACAAGCCATGTAGATCTTAGAACATACTTTAATTTCCCAATATATTTGCTACTCCCCCTCGACATATTGTCAGCATGCAGAGAGATGTTGTAGTCTGTGCAGGTGGGGTGCCTAACCTTACGAGCAGCGAGAATAAACTTTCCATTGTCAGCCAATGCTGCCACAAGGATAGACAAAATTCAAAAAAAAAAAAACAGAAGTGAATGTTTGCAGGGCAAGGAGGCAATGGCAAATAGGGCCTTTGTCGTCCAAAGGTTCCATTCAAAAATTTTAGAAAAGAGAATACAGAAATTAAGCGAATCGTCTAGCAAAACAAGCCCATTTAAATAAATAAATAAAAGTCAGAGCAGTGCAGCTACCCAGTGACAAAGATAATATGTTCACCTCGAGTTAAATTAAGGTAAAGATGATATGTTTGTGTTGATCGATTCCTTTTTATAAAGCATTGAAGGAGAGAGTCTCTAGGACCAGGCTGCAAATAATAGTTAGCAATTATAAGCATACATGAGTGTGGAATTTGAAAACAAAAACATTTAGTTGATGCTGAATACCTTAACTACAAAGCTCATAGGAATTTAAAAATATAAAATAAAAATGAATCACTTGCAGCGAAATTAAATTTACATCTCATTAGCTTATTACTATATGATTCAACCATTTTTACTTCATAGCACCTCAAGCACAGCTAAATTTCTGAGGACCCCAAGACTTTTATAGAATTGGTTAGATGATAGGAGGACGATGGCTTCAAGGAAAACAATGACACAATCAACACAAATTAAGAAAAGGTAATGATTAAATTGTTTTAAAACATTAAAGTTAAAGCAGGACCCGTGCAATGCCAACTTTACTGGAGATCACTGAGAAAGTTCTCTAAACATAGCCAAACTAAGTCTAGTATCTCAATCAAATGGAGTCGATTATATAAATCCTTCTTCCCATTCAACTCTGTCAAGGCCTATACATTCAGTTCACTCAAATATAATTCATATTTTTTTTTCCTACCGTATACCATGTCAGTTTAAGACTTCTTCTCTCTTAATATTTCCATTTATGGTGAGTACATCACTCATCTCACGTAAGCTTAGG